TCCTGCCTCTGCCTCCCAAGTAGCTGGGACCACAGGCGCCCGCCACAACGCCCGGCTATTTTTTGGTTGCAGTTGTCATTGTTGTTTGGCGGGTCTGGGCTGGGGATTTGAACCCGCCACCTTAGGTGTACATGGCTGGCGCCTTAGCCGGTTGAGCTATAGGCACCAAGCCTATACTTATATTTTTAAATGAAGTAGTTAGAATACATGTTGCATGTCTCAAATTAAGAAAAATGTCTAAGGGAGTAAATAAATATGAAAATCATACTTCTTAAAAACAATAATAAGAGATCAATTTTAGGGCTGCTGACTAAAACACCCGGAAAGTCTATTTTAAATAGTGTATTTGTGCATACTTTTCAGAGAAAGGATGCGCATTTTCTAATATCCTCAAAATGCTGGTGATCACTGCAGGCTAAGTGCCACAGTGCTACATGACCTCCTTCCAAGGAAGATGGTAATTGAAACTTCCTCTTTAGTGACCTTGAATATCCAACAAAAACCATCTAAAAAAAAAGCCATGAGGTGTTGCTATGGAAAATAGCAGATACTTACCTGCTGTAGTTAAAAAAGGAAATAAAGGACATTTGGATGCATTAAAAAGGAAATAAGAAATTAAAATGCGGTTATTATAATGGACTGAACAAGAAAAAGTTGAGTAGCCTTGATAGTTAATATTATACAATTGATTGACTTCGAAAATATATACTTGAAAGGAAAAATTATAGGAGCTAACTTTGGCATAATGTACAAATAGGAGCAAGAGAAAATAGCCCTTTTGTTTTTTTAAGTTCTCAGTGGTAACTTAAGCTGTGTGAACTTGAACAAAGTGAAGGACAACTGACAGTCAGCGTTTAATTCAGGTGAGCAAACCTGTTTCTATGGAGCAGGGGAGATAGGTCAGAGGAAATATTTCTTAGTTCTACATTTTAATTGGTCAGGTAGAAAAAGCCTGTAAGAGGACTCAAGAAATTTGAATTCCAAAGAAACCAAGTTCTAACCTTAAAAAGAAAAGCATAAAACAGAGGAAACCCACCTCTATTACTAAACTTGTGAATTTCCACCAAACCCAGAAGGTACTCCAGGAGGGAGGGCTGGTTTGATGTCACCTTGAGTGATTTATAAATTGTAAAAATGGAGAATAACATAGAAGCAGCGGTCTGGAGACCAAGTGAGATGACACATTTGGAAACACCTGTTGGAGTACCTGGCACGCTTCCTGCTTTCTTGTTTGTGTCAAGTTCAAGAGGAGTTATTTTCGAGACAGATGATTTGGCCCTCTTACTGGAAAGCAATGTCTTTGAAATGTTACTGAACAGAAATATATCTGTTGTGAATAGTTTATCCTTACCAGTTTATAGTTTATTAATGTTTTAAAGAATTCAACTGAAAGTCTACCTCATTTATTTAAAAATTTTTCTGAAATTCAGATAAATAAGTCGCATATACTAGCTTTCTAAGCAACACAAATTTCAAACCTCTAAACAAATTTTGGCCATCTCAGGCAGCACTTGTGGCTCAGTGAGTAAGGCACCGGCCCCATATACCGAAGGTGGCAGGTTTGAACCCAGCCCTGGCCAAACTGCAACAAAAAATAGCCTGGTGTTGTGGTGGGCACCTGTAGTCCCAGCTACTCGGGAGGCTGAAGCAAGAGAATCGCCTAATCCCAAAAGCCTGAGGTTGCTGTGAGCTGTAATGCCACGGCACTGTACCAAGGGTGACAAAATAAGACTATGTCTTGGCATCTCGAAATGTTTAAAAGACATTATTAAAAATGTGTCAGGAACACATTTAAAAAATAGTAATTTTCAGTAGTACTCTCATGAAATCAGTAACTAAAAAGTTAACATGCCTTTATTATGGCAGGAAGTTGAGAGAGAGCTGGAAAGCCCAGCCAGAGCCATGAGCTCTCCCTCGGTCCTCCTAGTCTACAAAGGCACTGACTTTAGGTAAGTTATTTAACTTCTGAGTCTTGGTTATTAATTGCTAATTATTTTACAGATGGTTATGAAAACTAATTATTGCATATGTAAGCATGTTATTTTAAAACATTAAGGCAAGTTTTTCCATTCTAATCATGGCATTCTAACACTGTTGAGAATTGTTATCAATATCATAAAATAGAAAATTACATACTAAGAAAAAGAAATAAACTGATTAACATAGGGACTCCTGTAATGACACAGATATATATCATATCAACCCCGTAAGATTATATTAATTATAACAAATATTAAGCATTTATTGTGTGCAAAGCATTGTAAATAGCACATTATCAAATCATCCTAAAACCTAATTATTATCATCCCCATTGTTGAATAAGGAAACTGAAGCTTAGGTTAAAAATCTTGTTTAAGGTCACGCATTTAGCAGTCTCAACCTAAGACCTGATTCTAGATTTCATGGTCTTAACTCTGTGACACAACATGTCTCCAATGGATAAATAAAAAGCTAAAAACACAATGAATAAAAGGACTAAGAAAATGAATGAAGACTCATTTTCCATAATTCTCAGAGGAAGAAACCAGCACTTTACTGTACTGTTCTCTGTATGCCTGCTCCATCCTCTCAATTCTAGAAGTGTCCCTGATGGCTTCAACACACAGTCACCATCAGACAGGACTGCTCTGTGCCCCGCATACCACGCCAGTTAGAAACAGGAGATCACCAATGAAGGATACACCAAATAAAACTTCTTGGCATGATACTCAAGCCCTGTTATCACCTGTCCTTCCGTCTGACCCCCAATTATCCTCCTATCTCTATCTCCTCCTTTCCAGGGCTCTATATTCCACTCAGTTATTGCCACTAGTCCTAAGTCAGCCTCCCAGTCCTGCCCCCAGGTATTTCCCGGGGTTCTCCTCTATATAGAAGTAGTTTCCCAGGACTGCATGTCCAAATCACACTCACATTTCTTGCCCCTGCACCCCCAAAGGCCTTGCCATCTTTCTTTGATAGCATTTACCAGACAGCAGGTCCTAATCACTTTACATCCCCCACAACAGCTTGAACTGCACTTTGACATAGAAAAACTTAGTTTTTTTTTTTTCTAACCGGAAAGAACCTTAGAATTTATCAAATACAACATCTGTCATTTTACAGAAGAAGAAACCAAGACTTACAAGTTAACTAATAAGCAAACGGTAAATAGATGTTGTTTTAGTTCCAGTTCCAGATAAGAGAGTTGGGAAATTTTGTTTCTCTTCTCTGTATTTCTTTTAGAACGACTGGTCTGCTGGCAAAAGGACGCTTTGTTTATATCAGCATATCCCAAGCCGGAGCTTGGAAGAACTGCGTCTGTAAGATGCTAGGTGTTCAAAGTGTGTGGAAAAACTCTAAGTTTCCTTCTGCGGGGCTTTGTGATAGAGAATTTGGGATGCTAAAATATACTGCGAGTTTGCAAACGTGAAGGTTAAAACCGTTTTGAACGTGAGTGAACTAAAGTCTTGCTTGTTCCCCGAAGGCTCATCATCCTCATCTCTTGTAATGTTCAGTAGAACACACGTAAAAAATCTAAGTGCTCTCTTCTTGGTCCTCAGTCCAATTTTAGAAAATTCAGTATAAGTACTTCTGACATAGTTAATATAAAAGTTAATTTAGCATAAGCATTTTTTACTTACACTTTTACACTCTTTATGTTACAAGAGTGACATATAAATAATTGTGTCAAACAGAACTATTTAATAAATGATAATTAAATATTCTGATATACAAAGAACTATGTAACCAGTCAGGACTTAGGTCCTCTGGCAAATCATGACCTATTTATTAAAGGAGCTATTCTCTTAACATTCTAATTCCAAAATTGCTGCTAATGATATCAGCAAGAGGTTCTGGAAGAAAAGTCAAGGACTGTGGGTGAAGGTAGTGACTTTGGGCAAGACCAGTAAGTGGCAAGGGGACAGGTGGCTTCACAGATCACAGTGACAGAGCATTTGTTATAAGATCCAGGACAAAAGAACAAAAACCAACAGACAATCTTATGAAGTTTGAGTCCCTGAAACCTCATGGAATAAGGGGACCTGTGTAAATAATTCTGCTTTAAAACACAATTTCCAAATTCCCAGTGGAAGGTAGGGCTGAGGCAGGATGGAATTATCTTTAATGACTTAAACAAATATGGAAGACATAGATTACCCTCCAGGTGTTAGGGATCCCATGAAAAGTAAGGAGTTTATAGAGTCCTCCGAGGCAATGAACCAAGAGTAACAGATCATCTGAAACAAGGACAATATTCTCACTGTGTGGCTCTGCCATGTGTGTTCCACAATGAGCCACAGAAACGGTATGGGACATAGGACCATTCGCCTGCACATTTTTAATTTCTGATTTAAAAACGTAACTTTTAGTGTTCTAAAAGGGTTTAATGTTTATGAAAGGATTATTTTCTCTATAAGAAAACCATATCTACATTCTTAAACATTTATGTTCTAAATGTACTTTTGTTCTAAAGGGATAAACTTGTTTACAGAAAGTATTTTCTTACTTTTCATGTGTTTTCAGGTGTTAGGACCTTACCTGTTGGCTACTGTGTCTCTGCCTAATCTATGTGTGTGGGTACAACTACGTATTCATGGGTAGGACACGTTAATTTGGGGTTCTTGAGAATGTATGGCCAAGTAATGTTCTAGACTCAAAGACCAGCCATCAGGGTGTGCTGTCTGATATTTGTATGTGAATGTAGATCTGATCTTACCAATAGAGAGTGAGCTTATTTAATCTTAAGAGGTGACAAATACAAAAAATTCAATGCAGATACGTAAAGGGAACCTGACGAACGAAAGATGGCAGCAACAGTCAGACCAGTACCCTAAACGAGCGTTGTTTCTTGAAGACATTGGGATAAAATAAATGAACAGCTGATACACATTCATACCAAAAAATACGACTAGCTGTAATCTGTCTCTTAAGACAAATATTTTAGTGGGCACAAAAGGGAAACAAGTAAACAGTGTCCCCCACATATCCGTTTTCATTCAGAAAGTGAAAACTAAATAAAGGTGAGTGACTTACTCTTCCCTAACGCAGCTGGTGGGTGGTGAGACTAAAAACAGGAAAAACCATCACTTTCTTAGTCAAAGTACTTCAGTAACCCCACCAGACGAAAGCTGAGCCCCTAGCACCAGACCCATGACCTAAATAAAAGAGACCTCATAGCTTCCTTCTTACCTTTCACTCACAGCTTGCCAGTTGTTGACTAAGAAGTCTTTTGCGATGTACCGGCCAACTTCGGACGCTGCCACAATCTCAATTATATTTGTTTCATTGAAAGCAAACAGAGATGTGGTGATGGCATACTCCATATATCTGTAAGAGTGCATTTGCAAAAATTCAGTTTCAAATCTCCAATATAAAGAGTTAATTTAAATAATCAGGATTAAAACTCCATGGTCCCAAGTTAGGGATGTACAGATAGGCACTGCTTTAATTCTTAGACTAGCCCATTTCTGTTTTCCTCCCTTTCGCTTGTTAATCGTACCCCTCCATCAGGAACTTTAGGGTGAGCTGACCATGATCACCTGTTTAGAATCCATGGGTCTTTGCTGCAGCTCATTGCATAAGCGAGTTGAATCCTTTCTTCTTCCTCAGTTGTGTTAGTGTACACATCTAACAAAAAGTCCCATTCTTTATCACTCCCCAAGGCAATGCCATAACATAAAATCACACTTTGAATTGGATAAGGTATTCTGTAAGATATAAAATGCAATGATTTCTCACAGTAGTTAAGTTGTATGTTTATCCAGGTTGTCATATATTACAAATATAAATCTAGAAAACAAGATTTGAGATCTTAGATATAAAAGTCAAAAGCAGGGATCTAGAGATGCAATTGTGGGAACTGACATTTGCATTAATTCTATGGGAAAAGATCAAATTAGCTTAGAAACTAAAGAAAGAAACTAGAACAGTACAGGGTATGTTCAGGATACAAGTCTGGTCTTGCACCTCATGATCACATTTCCTAAGAGTCCATCTGAAGCGGGATGGTAGAGGTGATACAACCAAATGGCAGAGTCACAGTGTGAGCTCTCAGTGACACTGCTAACTCAGGGAGAGAGAGACAGGCTGTCACACACTCAAAGATAGAGCCATGATAAGCAATTGTAAAGAACAACCTACTAAGATTCTCAGTAAGCACAGAGTTAAAAGTCAATGCTTTGGGGGAGAAAGCGCTGATGATGACAGGTGTTGGATGAGGGTGACGATTCACCGTGGAAGTTCTAAGCTTCTGTTGTTATGCACAGACCTATACGAAGCAAGGGTTTTAAAAATATACTTGACAAAATAAAAAACACTAAAGACATTTGAAAAGAATAGTAAGAGAGGGAGATTAACAAAGTGAAAGCAGAATGATCCTTCCCACAGAGAAAATATCAAGAAGATAGAGAAATTTTTAGTGCAAAAATAGGAGAGAAACAGAGAAGATTACAATGCCACTCTTACTCATACTCCGGATTGTTCAACCATTTGCTGAAGAGTTCTCTCGACAGCTGAAGACAATCTTCAAGGCCCAACGAACATGCAGTTTCAAAAAATCTTTCCAGGGATATTCTTGATGGAAAAGTCAAACAAAAACAGTTTATTTTGCAAAACCACCTTCATTTTCTCGGCCTCCAAGAACACATTTCACAAAAGGATGGATATTATAAAGCATCCTTTTAATAACATCAAGTTATTTGTAAAATAACTTGTTTGTAAAACATTGCTTTTTTAGATAAAGTTTGTTTATAAAACATTGCTTTTTTAGATAACAAATGTATTTTAGATTTAGAGAAATATTTGCTGAGAAGCTCATAGGCACCAAAAACTAGTAGTTTTTGAAAGTTAGAAATAAATTACTACCGTGCTTTATCTCCCTCCAACACACGGGGCATGTGCAGACATACTCCACAGCTCTTGTCAATTTATTATTCCTCCCTTTTATAATAATGTTCCTATTGATACAAAGCAAAATCTGACCTAGTAGTCTTAAAAATCAAGTTCTTTCTCTGTGTAAGAAAAGAAAAGGGAATCATTTCTTTCTTCCCTTCGACCCTTCGCTTTCCGTTGCTTAAGTGTCTTTTTCTTGCCCTACTACATCTGGCTGTTAGACACATGATCAGAAAAAGAATAAAAGTGTTTGGTTTACTTTGTTCTCATAGCTGAGCAGGCGTACATATTATGGCTCAAAACAAAATGAGTTCAAAAGGAAACAGCAAAGAAGAAGAATAAACCTAGGTAAGGAACGCCTTGCAGTGCAGCTCCCTGCCCTCCCCAAGGTTGGGGTCAAGGGTAAAGAAACCCAAACTGCTCATAAATTTCCATAAAATGCAAAAGCCAAATCTCTGTTGCCCCGCCCTCCAGTTTCAGTCCAGCCTGGCCTGACCTTCTGATAAGCAGAATTGGAACGTCCAAGTCCAAGGGCGGATGACAGTTCTGGGCGTTCATTTACATCCTCGCTGCCCGTCCCCACCCGTCCTGAGCCCAGGCTGGCTGCAGCAATAACGAGAGTTCTGTGAAGGGCAGTTTAACTCCCCAGGGCTGCTCTGAAGAGAACTGGCCCCAGGATGCACAAAAAGCAGTTACTTCAGTTCAATTTAGGACAGTGGAGGATCCGTGTGGTTAACCTCCCCGTCATCCACCTACTTGTCTATTCAGTTCTGCCACCTTCCAGTCACACCTTGTACACTAAAATTTCTACCCTCACTCGAGAGTTACCACACTTTGTATATTTTGCATTTCTTTCTTGGTTAAATTGATTTGAGCTGGATGTTGACTAGAAGTAGCAGGTATCACCCTTGTACTATTGTTGGCTACAACTTCTTTCCCTACATCTAGAAACCCAGGCCTCCACCCACAAATTCAGGTCACAGGAAGGTCAGAGGTGCCATGGCCTCATGTGGCCTTCCTGGACCCTTGTGATGACGTGCTTACTCCTCTCACCAAAGCATTGACATTGAAATGGCTTGTGATACACACCCAGGCTCACACGGAGGTGACTGGTATCTATCTATCGCTGTCAACCTATCTTTTCTAGTTTGCATAGTTGCAGATATTCCTGTTAACAATCATAATATACAGAAAGAACTTTCCCCTGTGGCTTTCTCATGCCCTTCAACTCACTGGTAGAGATTAGCTTTGCCTAGCACAACCCTTCTTCCATAGCAGGACACACTTACAATTGCAACTAGTAGTTTTGAGAATACAGAGCTATAAGCTCCTGGGTGTACACACATGTGCTTGTACACACAGTACATGGAGCCCATGAATCCCTTAGCTATTGTTTTCAAATAGCATCTCAGGGAATAAAGGGTGTTAAGATTTTATTTAAATATGAATCCCTGTTATTCAGTTATCACTGCTTAGAACATACTCACAGAGCTAAATAGTCATCTTGCAATGCCGCCACATTTTCAAGAATTATAGTTGAATAAATATTCCATGTGGAGTTAAGTCTTTTCAGCAGATACTTCTATAAACAATAAAGGAGATACACTGTTAATTCTGGCTCACGCTGCTGAATTTTCAGATATTTGTGTTTACCTGAAACGACATGAATAGAAAAATGGCAGATACTTCCTCAGAAATTATCTGTGTTATTGTATGTGCAACTGTTTTATTTTTAACCTCTCCAAGTTCAATACCTTATTTATAAAGGGTGGTTTATAATAATGCCAAGGGGATAGTGTTATTGTGAAGATTAAATAATTATAATGTATGTGAGCACGCTGCCTGGCATATGATAAGAACTCAAAAAATATTAGCAATTATTACCATTGAATATCACTCCAACATTTTTAGTTGTCTTCAAAATAGAGAAGAAAATGTAAAAATATCAAATAGCCTCTCTACCTTCAAAAAAAAAAAAATGGAGAACGGGTTTATGTGCTATGCAAATGGAAGTGTTGAGCATAAAATAACCTTTCTTCAACTGAGCTACCTGCTGGTAAATATAACATTATAAAAGTTAGACAAGTTAGACAATTACTAATACACTCCTAAGAAAACACTAGATGTTATTCATTGAAATTCTTTAAAAACAAATATTAGGTATTTTTGGTTTTGTTTGGTACTTTTGAGACAGAGTCTTACTGTGTTACCCAGGCTGGGGTACAGTAGCTGGATTGTAGCTCACTGCAGCCTCGAATAAGTGGGCTCAAGAAATCCTCCTGCCTCAGCCTCCTGAGTAGCTGGCTAATTTTTAAATTTTCTGTAGAAACAAGTTCTTGCTATTGCCCAGGCTGGTCTGGAACTCTGGGCCTCCAAGGATCTTCCCACCTTGACCTCCCAAAGGTTAAGAGGAATAGAGGCTTGAGCCACAGGCCAGTTTTTACTTCTCTTCCCAGAACCAGTCGTCAGACATTATCAATGAGGCAACTCTATCCCTCAAACATTTAAGTGACTTCTTCTACTGGTCCCATCCTGCACTCAACTAAGTTCCCATCAGGATTTTGGACATTAGAAAAAAAACAAAGTCTAGAATCCTGAGATATTTTTGATCTCTCCCTCAGAGTGACCCAGAAACTTACTTGAAACCATCCCCTAAAACACTTTCTGGTTGGCTGGTGGCCCCTAACTGTCTAACTTTTGTTTTGATTTTGACTGTGCCATTTTTCTTATGATTACTGTCTGATATCTAATAATAGAACTCCCCCTTTTATATTCTTTCATTTATGATGGCATCTTATTTCTTCACTCATGAATTCTAATTTCCCTCTTTCTCTTTCTAACATCAAGATCAGCTCAAAACTTTTACTTTTTCTAGAATATATCTGTAGGCTGGTCCTAGAGATTGGAGCATTGTAATTATGAAAATAGGATTGTTAAAATCATTTTATTTACCCAAAAATCTCTTAGGGAAATAATTTCTATTAACTACTATCCTTTTCTAAAAAAAGAAAAAAAGGCATACCATGTCTATCTACTACTTCTGGTTTCTTAGGATATATACTACTGTTTCACCAAGAATTTAGTACTTTTCCAAACTCTACTCATACTCATTTTCTAGATTCCTAGACCAGGTTTATGATTAAGGTATTTTCTTCCAAGAATAACCAGCCATTGCTAAGAAAATGCATATATATATATTAAAGACCTGTCTTACAGATGCCAGCTAGGATATGAAAAGAGAAATAAAAAAAGAACTACATAACAAAGAATGAAATTACCTTTAATAATGGGTATATATTGTAGTTGTTCACATCAGAACCAGGATCCCTAGTTACCAAGTTTACCAAGACTGCATACCATACTATGATTTCATCCTCTTTAGCAAGGTACTTGGTTAAATCAAGTGCTGTTTCAATCTCAACATAATTGTTTCTGTTTGGGTAAAAAAAACCACAGACTCAAAAAACTTTCACTTACTAAAGGATCTATAGACATTTGATGGTTGTTCCATGCTTTGGTGCCTGACTTCAATAAGGTATGTAAATAAATTTAAAAGATACAGGGTAAAAATCCCATCTTATTGAGAAGATGAACCTAAGCTATGCTGACAGACCTTCCATTTCAATTTGGTACCTCCAAGCGGCCAAAGTCTTGAGGGCTATAGAAAATCCAGGCTAATTATTAGGAAATAGAATAATTGTGCATTTAGTATACAGTATTATTAGAGTATAATTTGCATTCAGCAAGTATTAATTAAAAGTCATTATCTAGTGGGCATGCCAGCTACTAGTGGGCATAGCAACTACCAGCATACCTAAGACATATTGCGGGTTGGGTGGTTACAGACTGCCACAATAGAGCAAGTATTGCCTGTAACAGTATTTCCTGTAACTGCGAGTTACAGGAAATTTTTGACTTCTCAGTGCATAAAAATTATGTTTACTATATTGTAAAATTTAAATATGTAATAATATGTATGTCTAAAAAACAATTTACATACCTTAATTAAAAAATATTTTATTGCTAAAAACTGCTAACGATCATCTGAGCCCTTAGAGAGCCATAATCATTTTGTTGGTGGAAAGTGTTGCCTTGATGGTGACTAACTGATCAGAGTGGTGGCTGCTTCAGGGTGGTGGTGACAATTTCTGAAAATAAGATGATGAGGTTTCCTATATCTACTGACTCTTCCTTTCATGAAAGATTTCTCTGTAGCATGCGATGCTATTTGATAGCATTCTACCCATAGCAGAACATTTTTCAAAATCAAAGTCAATCCTCTCAAACCCTGCCACCACTTTACCAACTAAGTTTATGTACTATTCCTAATCCTTTGCTGTCATAGCATTTTAAACAAGAGCAGTTTCCATCTCAGTCAACCAAATATCTTTGCCCATCCATAAGAAGCAACTTCTCATCCATTCCAATTTTAGCATGAGATGCAGCAATTCAGTCCCATCTTTGAGCTTTACTTCTAATTCTAGTTCTGCTGCTATTTCTACCACATCTTCAGGTACTTCCTCCACTGAAGTCTTGAACCTCTCAAAGTCTTCCATGAAGGTTGGAATCAACCTCTTACAAACTCTTGTTCACGTTGCTATTTTGACCTCTTGCGATGAATCACAAATGTTCTTAATGGTATCTAGAATGGTGACTCTTTTACAGAAGGTTTTCAATTTATTTTTGTCCAGATCCATCAGAGGAATCACTATTTATGGCAGCTATAGCCTCACAAAACGTACTTCTTAAATAATAAGATTTAAAAGTAGAAATTACCCCATAATCTGTGGGCTGCAAAATGGATACCAAGTTAGTAGGCATGAAAACAACATTATTCTCCTTGTCTGTCTCCATCAGAGCTCTTGGGTAACCAAATGCATGGTCAGTGAGCAGTTATATTTGGGGGAAATATATATATATATATATATTTTTTTTTTTCTCAGAAAAGTAGGTCTTAAGAGTAGGCTTAAAATGTTTAGCAAACAATATTACAAACAGATGTAGGGTCATCAAGGCTTTGTTATTCCATTTATAGAGCACATGCGAAGGAGATTTCGCATCATTCTTAAGAGCTCTAAAAGTTTTGAAATGATAAATGAGCACTGACCTCACCTTAAGGTTACCAGCTGCGTTAGCTCCTGACAAGACAAGCAGCATGTTCTTTGAAGCTTTGATGCCAGCAGGCATTGACTTCTCTTCTAGCTGTGAAAGTCCTACATGACTTCTTTCAAAGGAAAGCTGTTTCAACTACATTGAAACAGTCATCTTCATCAATTATCCTAACTTTGACCTTCTAGATAATTTGCAACAGCTTTTAGATCAGCACTTGCTCTTTCACGTTATACTTTTATGTTATGGATATGGCTTCCTTCCTTAATCCTCATGAATTGACCTCTGCTAGTTTCAAACTTTTTTTCTACATCTTCCTTGCCTCTTTCAGTCTTCATTAGGATTTGGCTTAAGAAAATCTTATAATCTCTAGCCAGACAACTCAAATTTTTTCCATATCAGTAATAAAGATGTCTTCCTTTCTTATCATTTGCATGTTGACTGAAGTAGCATTCTTTTTTTTTTTTTTTTTTTTCAGTTTTTGGCCGGAGTTGGGTTTGAACCCACCACCTCCAGCACATGGCTGGCGCCCTACTCCTTTGAGCCACAGGTGCCGCCCTGGAGTAGCATTCTTAATTTCCTTCAGGAATTTTTCCCTTGTATTCACAACTTGGTTAACTGTTAGGCACCAGAGGCTTAACTTTTGGCTCATCTCAGCATTGATGTGCCTTCCTCACTATACTTAATCATGTCTAGCTTTTGATCTAAGGTGAGAGATGTGGTACTTCTCATTTCACTTGAACACTTAGAGGCCACTGTTGGGTTTTTAATTGGCCAAATTTCAATATTGTTGTTACTTAGGCAAAAGGGAGGCCCAACAAGAAGGAGAGAGAGAGAGAATAATGGTCAGTGGAGCAGTGAGAACACACACAGCCTTTCTTGATTAAGTTTGCTGTCTTACATGGGTGTAGCTCACAGCACTCCAAACAAGTACAATAGTAACATCAAAGATTACTGACGGCAGACCACGATAGCAGATTAACAACAATGGAAAAATTTGAGATACTGTGAGAATTACAAAACTGTGACAGACATACAACATGAGCACGTGCTGCTGGAAAATGACACCCATAGATTTGCTTGACTTAAGAGTTACTACAAACTTTCAGTCTATAAAAAACAATTTATCTGCAAAGTATATTAAAGCAAAGCACAATAAAACGAGGTATGCCTGTAGTAGCATGACACCACACTTGCCTACCATCGAGGAGCTTTAGTGAGGAGTTGAGATTTATGTGCAAGAAGCTGTTAATGAAAAGTCCCAGAAAAGGCAATGAATAAAGTAATGGAGCAAAGAAGGAAAATGTACTCTTGAAAAAGATAAAATAGTCAGGGAAGGCTTCATGGAAGAGGAACTTGAGAAAAGCAATGAAGGATGGGTAGGATTAAAATGGATAGAGAAGGAGGACCCCAACCCAGGACAAAGGAGATAAGATGGAAATCAGTGAGATGAGCAGACCAACCTAACAGAGGTAGGGGATTTCTTTTGTGTACAGTGAGAGATAGGGGCTAACAGTTAAGGTGGCACAAACCTATAGAGATCCTTGAATGGCAGGATGAAGAGTTTAGATTGGTGAGAAGGCATTCTAGACATTTAATCAACTGCAGTAACATGATAAAACTGATGCCTAATAATTTTATTGCAGTTGTGCTAAAGAAGACAGAATAGATCTCAAAAGGACTGAAAGCTGAAGGCCGATTTGATGGGGCAGTAAAAGAGGACAAACGCTTGGCTGTGGACGAGTGTGGACGAGTGAAAGTAGTAAGGTGCGAATCCAAAAGACTTTGCAAGAATGAACAGGTAAAACATGGTGACTGGGTGTGCATGAGAGATGAAGCAAGGGGAGGGATCAAGGAGGCCTCTGAGGCTTCAGGTTTGGGTGACAGGAAGAATAGCGGTGCCTTCACACAGGGAGAAATTGATGGCAGCAGCAATGTTCAGTGTTCAGCAGCTGAATGTTCAGTGTTCAGCAGCAATGTTCAGTTCAGAGAAAAAGTTCAGTGTTTAAGGTACTGAACTTCAATGGCCACAGGATGAACCTAAGATAGGAGGAAAGGTAAGAACAGATGTAGATTTGCAAGTCATCCACATGTTCTGTCCCAAACATTTATTGAGCATCTTACATTTGCTGGGTACTCTACAGATACATAATAAAATGGTCACTGAAACCTAAGAATGAATGAGCTACCAAAGGAAAATAACATAATCATAATTGGTCTTAAGGACACTCACAGAAGTAAGAAGAAAAGTGAGGCACATAAAGAGAACTAGGATTGCATATCACAGTCTCGGAAGCCAAAAGGGATGTTTCCAGGAGGATGTCATCAATAGTCTCAAAGTCACGGTGATCTTAGAGATGAGTTTCAGCACAATATTGGGCATGGCCATGTGCTCCAGGTAAAAGAGGGAAAAAGTAGTAAAGAAATGAAAGATAAAGCACGTAGACATTTATTCAAGAAATATGACAGGCCAAAGAAAGAAAAAAGACACTGGACAATTCATTATATATACTCCTTAATTTTATCACTTGAAAATTTCAATCCTGAACATTTAGTAACTTCTCTGGTTAATACTTAGCAGCATAACGTACACTGAGTAAATAGACAAAATCAATAATTCTGCAACATATTAAAATATAGACTGGATCTCATTAAAATTACACTGACAGCCCTCACCCCTGGGTAACAGAAATCACTGCAAAATCTCAATTGATAGCCCATTTATTTCTAGCAACTCCGTATGCTAGAAAATCCCTTTATGACTACAGAATTTAATCCTAACTGTAATCAGCTAGAGAACCAAATTCATAGTGATAAGGCTATTATTTTTATAAAGTTCTTAAGCTATACTCTCAAAAAAACTGAAAAAAATATACTCACTTAGACAAGTAAAATGCATCATCAATCAACTGCAGTCTGTGAATAATGGGAATAGCCTGCAGAATAGGATCCAAATACGTGCAAAAACAGATGAGAACATTTTTTAGTAAGAAAGCTTTCAAAATAATTTAAAGATCACTGCTCCCTACAAATCACATTCACATGAATTATCTCATCTGGAGAGAAATAATAATTACTGAGGGTAGGTCCCATAATTTAATGATTATACATCTGTTTTTTATAAATGGTCCCTCTGGACATCAATCATAAGGTTCCAAAATGGCACAGAGTTTTGCCAAATACTTTCTGAAACATACCATGTTAAAAATAATAAAAGAGGCAAGCAAATTCAAAAGGACTCTCCAAAACAAAAAGTATATATTAAATTATATTACAATGTCCCAATTATTTTCAGGGAGTTTGGTGCATAGAAGGCCTTAAACAAACATTATTTAACACTTTTCTGGCAATATTGAGGTACTTGACTCTTTTAAATGATATGATAGCTGTCTTCTCAAGATTTTACTAATATGACACAATACTGTATAACAGAACCTTTAGTATCCATAGAAAGGCAGAGGGTAATTACAAGCCTAACTCTTCGTGGCATTGCTAGGCCAAGGGACTCTGATCTCAGCCCAGTCCCCTGAGGGTGCCCAAAGCCTTCCACATCATTCCTTCAACACCTCCCAGGACTTTGATATATTTGGTCCTAGTAAATTCATCTTCATAACATTCCTTTGAACATTTGAGCAAGTCAAGTTTAATTCTTCTGTTGGTAGTAGTCTAATTTCTTTTCCAACAGGAATAGTTACATTTTCTAGACTAATATTAATTATAAAAATTCTGTTTTATTTGCTCTCCAATTATGTTATAGGAATGATATACCTCAGTTTTTCAATAAGTAAATCTATAATAGTCACAAGAAAACATGACTATAATGGCATGTACTAGTGCTTTCATGGCTTAGAGTGTCCTTAGAAACTGGTAAGAATTTAGCTATTCTGGAAAAGACTTGCAAAGAAAATAGTATTGTAAGTGTTTTTTGTAGCTTTATTCAAAATCTTAATAATACGTATTTTCTTAATAATTACCATCAAAGAGCAAATGCGTTCTGAGCACCTGAATTATCTCTGGTCTCTGTTGAACTTAACACATGTATCATCTATTTAACCTTCACAGCACCCCTTTAGGGTGAGTCTTTTACAACCACTGTGATACAGAGAAGAAATTGAGGTACAGCTGGTCAAATGGGAGGTTCAAGGTCACACAGCTGCTAAATGATAAGCAAAATATGAACACAAGACTTGACCTAGAACCAAGATCTAGACCAAGATTCTGTCCTGCCTCCTCTCCTAGAGAGGCTGCTGCATGTCTCAGAGAACTTTTGAACACAGAGGCATGTGACATATCTTTTCAAAATTCCAGTCTTACAAATGGTGTCTGAATGAACCACCCAAGGGTACACAACAAATCAGAGCAAGGCTAACTGTGCAGACTCCTAAGCCAGAGTCCGTCTCCACCAATGCAAATTTAGTTTAATTCCACTGATTAAAATCTGATTGGTTAGAGCTGGCCAACATTTTATTATTTAGACTTTGCAAAAGTATTTACAGTTGTTTCATAATAGAAAGTGACATTACACCATTACTGACCTTTGTCAATTAAAATCATTCTTCTGAGAGAGGGTGGAACTATAACATGTTTTTAGGAGTAAAATTAATATTTTCTACCATGTACTGAGTTATAAGTTTAGAAATTTTAATTTTACTTGCACAAACATCATCTCTAATCCTTATGATGAATACAATAGGACAATATTTCCATTTTAAAATGAAGAAATGGAACCAGAATATTTAAGTAACTTGTCAAAAGATCACAAATCTAATGATTAATAGGAAAATGTATACTGATTCTTATCTAGGAAACTAAAATGGTTTAGGAAAAGCAAAGTGAATGTTCAAAAACACAACACATTCAATCAAAATCTCCCCTTCCTGAGAATAAGGAAAAAACTCTCTCCAGTATGCCTGGGTGTAAGGGTAGGAATAAGGGTGAAATGTCTTCCCACCAGAAAGCTAAACTTCTAAAAGACTAGAGAAGGCACTGTGAATTATATTTAATTAAAAGTGTCAAAAATAACCTTACCTTATGATCCTCTTCAAGCTGTTGATTTAATTTCTTCCAACCTAATTTATCATAGTTAACTCTATAATATCCGGTCATATTTAAATTCAAAATCACCCAGTCATGGTCAGAATCTGAAACTTGCATTTCAGGGAATACTTCTATAAAGGAATATGGGAATAGTTTTAAATGATACAATTTTTAAAAATTTCAATACATATTATATATACTCTTAATTCTAAACAATAAATCAATATAACAAAAAATACATATATCTAAACTATATATTGATCTTACTATGCAATTATATTTTTTCACATGTAATGGCTTTTGATTTGATGTTTATCTTTAAAGCTCTGTGTTCAACAAGAATGATATTTTAGTTTTAGCTGTTTCAATATTTTATTATTATCCTACACCTTTCTATGTGTACATATACGAAGATGTTTTTAAAATTTGTTACTTACTGCTGTTTTTATCTAGCCAGACTAAGGACTGTGCAGTTCCATTCTTTATCCAAAGAATAGGGACAATCCATGTGTCACTTATTGGAAGAAAACCAAAAATTGGTTAACTTTCACACATAATATGTAAGAGATGATGACACAGCAGATAGAATTCAAGTTCTTTGCTCATTCCCTCTGGGTAGGGAGGACTTGGCTCTCAGGATTCTTTGCTGTTGTTTTTGTAAGCCACTTTTGCTTAGGCTATTTGTTTATTCTCTTTTCTTGTGGCTCCTGAATTTACTTCTTTTTATAACTTAGTAGCTACTAAGACTGTTTTGTAAGTGAAATCTTCAAGGCCTGTTTATGTTAAATTCTAGTCACCTGGCTTCACTCAAGGGCCGTTCAAATGTGGCAGACAAACCCAAATCTGTCTGTGCCCAGAAAAGTGAAAAGTTATTTAAGAAGAAAAGGCTTCACAAATACTTCAAAATACTTTTCAGCCTCAAGCTTTCTCTCCCTCTGAAAAGTATCCATCAGAATCAGCCAGGACATTTATATTTATTGAATGTCTTCATTTTTCTCATTTTGGTGGACGTGACCTGGATGAAGGAGCCGACCACAGAGGACACATTAGTCATCCAAAGAGACACACTGGTCAGAGTTTGGGCAGCATTTCAAATCTTGCTCAAATTCTCCCACAAGCCTCGTTTCTCAAGGACTTTCAACCACAGGTCTGTGTTTATCTGCATAACTAAGGTGCATACCTCTTCTCAAAGATCACAGAATGTGACACAGAGAAGGAAACTTTGAGTCTCCTGTGTCTCTCTCCTGGGGTTTTAAAGAAAGAGTAAAACCACCTGAAAACTTTGATGGTAATATTTGAAAACTTAATTACTCCACTGAAATGTGAGGATCAAAACGATGAAAAACAGTTGAAAATTATCTAACAAATCAAAAAAAGGAAAGAAAAAACAAAGTGATGAAGGCTAGGCTATTTTATACTAATCATTTCAGTTTTTACACAATCCTCTGGGAGTCATGCTATCACGTTTACTTTATAGAAAAGCCACCTGAAACTCAGAGTTTAAATGAGACCTAAGGTTTGAATTTTGGTGAAGTCAGTATTTGAACCCATGTCTACCTGACTCTAAAAGCCTTAATTCTAATGTAGTAGGTATGGCTATAATACACACACACATACACACACACACACAGCTATTCCTTAAGAAGATAGTTACCATTCTGTTGTTTCTAGGGAAGAGAAGACAACCCTCCAACAGGACTCTCTTTTCTCTTAACAAACATGTGGCCACCTGTGGATCTACCTTACTGCCTCCCACCCAAAATCCCAAGTAATCCCTTATCTCTGCCTGAAGTACAAAGAGGAATACTTAAGACCTCAAAGCTCTGGTTGCTGGTGTGGTCTTAAATCCCACAGTAGGGATACTGCCTGGAGTCCCTGCTGCAGGTCTCTGGCCTTGCTCAGGACTCAGGGGCTCTGCCTCCCTGAGCATTGCATCACTCTGGAAAAAGGTAGTGCCCAGGCAGGCGTTGTGCTTCTTCCCCCAGGGACTGGTTCCCACTGATTGGGGCTCAACCCCAGGGAAGATGAAGACAAAGAAGAGCAGAGCCACCTACTTGGGGTTGAGAAGAGTCTGATTTTTGACCTTTCCAAGATAAAATGGCTCCTGCCTCATGACGCCCGTAGAAACGTTTAAAGTGATGACTGGAAAACCACTCCGGTGTGTCCAGCTGTCCATTATGGTTTTTACTGTTGCTGGCAAAAGAATTTTACTTTGGTCATCTACAGCCTGTTTTAAAAAATCATCACAAAAGCAGATACAGTCATCAGCAAAGCCTTTTCAAGTAGCAGTCTCCTAAAATAAAATAAACTAGGTGTTTATTCTATTCCTCATTTATGTGGTACACCCCAGTGGTGGTATTCTGGGTCACATCCAGAACTTTGCTCACCTCTACATGGGGATGGCTCTTTAGGTCATTCATCATTCCCTGAAGACATATTTATGGATCTAATATGCGCCACGCTCTGCTCTGGGCACTGGGAATACAGTGAAGACTGAAGACCCCCTAACCTAAGGGAGTTTCGCAACAAGGCAAAATGGTTTTCCTGGGGAACTGCCATTCACCCAGGGGCTCCCTATCTCACTGGACTGTATTATAGGAAACAACTCAGTAAGAATGTGTCAGAAAGCAGGATGATTACCATCTGAAAATGCCTCCATAGATCATCTTGCTCAGCATTTGAATAGGAAAATGTCTGCAAGTATGACTGTAAAAATAGAAAAGTTAAAGTTAAAATAAATTCACACGCCAAGCAATTTACGCTTACTGCTGTCCAAGTAACAACTATTTTGTACACTTACCTTGAGTGCGCTGATAAATAAATGCTCATTCAAGAAACCAGAAAGCATCCAGGCAATAGACGCTCCCTAGGACACAAGAAGCTGTCCATTATTTGAATAAAATTTACTATCTATATACTGACACATTCCATTTTTATAAGGAATATTCTGGACTGTGCTCCTAATTGCATTTTGCACTTTAGTTGAACATTTGAATTATACCAAAATATGCTAAGAAAATAGTTGGCGGTCACTAAGTAAAGAGGTAAAATTGAGCAAATGTCCTCTATATAAAGACTTCAGGGTACACAGAATTTTCTGAAATGGAGATATTTACATGGCAAGAACAAATTCCCATTACACAGAAGGGCTCACCTTAAAAGCTAGTTGTTTAAGTCTATTTATAATGTTAGATGGTATCAAGCATCTAATATGGTCCTGATTAAAATATGCAAGGTGAGAAATTTTAATCTTTTCTGAAACCCAGCTATTAACTAAAATTAAAGGTATTTGCATCAAAAGTTTTAAGTTGCATATTAATCTATAACACTTAGAATTCACTTCATGCAGCTTTCTAGAAGAGTAGAGAACAAAAGGACATTTGTAAATGCATTTTACCTTGTGGTAAGTAAATAAGTCAAAGAGTTTATTTATTTCACTTGTTTCTGTGAAATTTTCCACCTTTGTGGATACAGCTCTAGACACCAGGGCGTGATCTTCTCTGAGGACACCATGTAATATGTTATAAAAAAAGACCGCATTCTATAAAGGCAAAGATTGAGCCATGTTAACTTCTGAGGTGTCACATAAACACAATCATCCTAAAATACTTTCAAAAACTAATACTTAAAGGGGGAAAAATATCAATGAGAAGTGTCTGAATGACAGTATACCAAATGAGTGAGGATTCCAACACTGTAGGAGACTTTCCTTCCTGTTTTATAGCCTTTTTGACTCTGAGGTTCAGTATGGAGTCATCAGTTAACTTCTTATTTTTTTCCAAAGTCTCAAAAAATAGACAACTAATATTTATAAATAAAAATAACAGATAATTTCAAAAAACAGATCATTTCAAATCTTACAGACAATAGAAAAAGAAGAAATACTTCAAGAATCATAGGTGATTTTCTTCTTTTCAAAATACAGCAGATAAAACGTTTGCAAAAGCAAAACATGAAAATTAAGAAATACATAGCTGCATAATATCCTATTGGGTTAATGGACCACAATGGACTTAATCATTTCTCTATTATTAGTTAGGCATTTGAATTGCTCCCAACTTTTTACTGTTATATCTAGTTTTAATGAATATTTTTGCCCATATTGCCTCTTCCGTATTTTGTGCCCCCTCTGCCCTGCATAGGTCTCCTGTCCCTCCTCTCTCTGCCTTGCATAAGGTTTACACAGTCTTCTTGGTGTCTCTATAACCGAACAAGGTTACACCTCTTCCTCTACACCACAGGTTCTCAACCTGTGGGTCGCGACCCCCTTTTAACAATGAAAATACATTGCAGCACTAGGAAGGTTGAGAACCACTGCTCTACACCCTAGGGAGCTTTCTACTCTAGGCCTCCCGTAAGGTGGAGGTGTTCCAGTCCTGCTGGAGGGAAACAGTATGTAAAAGTGACATCAATTTTAAAATAATAATAATAATAATGATATTTAAGTACTGCCTATAGGAATTAGGTAAAATGGATCTGTGCACTCACTATTATTTCATCCTGCAAGTTGTGATATCCCAGAGATCTATTTCTACTAAAACCTATTCTTAGAACACTTTTTTTGGTAATAATGTGTGTAGAACGTCATAGTGGTTAAAAACGCAGGGCTGGAGTCAAGCTGTCTATATCTGAATCCGACCTTAGCCCCTAAGGAGTTGTGAGACTCATAAAAGTCGACCAACTTTTTCTCTCTGAAACTCAATTTCACCAACTGAAAATGGAGAAAACAACACTGTCCTCGTCAGACTATTATGAGAATTCAATTAATCAACATAAAGTTCCTAGCACAATCCCTAGCAAATAGGACATGCACAATAAGGGTTAACACTGCTGTGATTGCCTATCGTGTTTTTTATTACTATTCCTTCGGAATTGTTCTGAGGATTAAATGAGATAACGTCAATGACATTCTGTGAGGATGTAACTAGAGCTTAGCCAAAGGTAGTTTGCTCAACTGTACACAGTAGATGCTCAATGATCTGCCGAATGGCTGCATGAAACCCACTTTACAAAGGAGGAACTAAAGATCAGGAGGGTTCAGATGGTAAAGGGAGAGCAGTGTCTGACTTGTTGCCGGGCCCCTGTGTCCCCTTCCCTTCCCTGAGCCTGCTTCCTCCTTAGATCAGGCAGAAGAAGAGAGATGGAAAAAAGTCGGTGAGTGGCAATGTCAGGGCTGGAGCTTTAGGGACCAAGGAGCCCTTGGTCCTCAATGTTCTGACCATGACTCATTTGTGTCCTGCTTTAATGACTTTCAGCTGAAATTGGACCAAGAAAGGGAAAAAAAAAAACCTGGAAATCTGTTCTGCATATGGTTCTGTGACTCCCTTACTCAATTTCAGTCAAATTACTAGATTAAAAGAGAAGTCTTCATCTCCAGGGATCACTGAAGCAAGAGCTTACACTTTTTAAAAACGAAGCTTGTGGCAACCTCTGTAAGCATCACAGTCTGATCTCTCTGGCAAGGGTCTAGTCACTCACTTTCACAAGCAACTGAGTAATGCAGACTCAGAAAGCAGTGATTAAGGAGCCAATGATAAAAGGAAATAACGGTACAGAAAGAGACTAATCTTGTAATTGTAGCTTCAAAAATCCCAGTAAAATGTTCATCAAATTTTGCCAGATACTATCTTAGCCATTGTGGTTGCTGTAAGGAGGTAACTGAGAGTGACAGTAATGAGATATTCTATTTAATTAAAAAACAGAGGGTAAATTTCTTTGTTTTATGGGAATTAAACTTCTCTTATTGACTCTAAGCCCAGAGTTAATTTGGGATACAACCAAATGCTTTCAAAAAGCATACAACCAAATGCTTTCAAAAAGCCCTAAAATATGTGTGGACAAAAGTTATAAAACAGAGATACAGTTTTGTAGACATGTATATGGAAAGGACTTTTGAAAAAATGAAGACTTACTACATGTACATAAAGTTTATATATATGAAAAGAATTGTATATAAACACACACACCCTCTTAGTGCCCTGAGGATAAGCATACTCTCCTGTCGACTTGGCGCCTGCAGCTCAGCAGCTAGGGCACTGGCCACATGCACCAGGGCTGGCGGGTTCGAACCTGGCCTGGGCCAGCCAAACAACAATGACAACTGTAACAACAACAAAAAGACCTGGGTGTTGTCGCGGGTGCCTGTAGTCCCAGCTACCTTGGAGGCTGAGGCAAGAGAATCGCAAACGCCCAAGAGTTGGAGGTTGCTGTGAGCTGTGACGCCATGGCACTGTAATGAGGGTGACACAGCGAGACACTGTCTCAAAAAAAAAAAAAAAAAAAAAAAGAATACTCTCATGTCCTTCTCTCTGTAGAGCACAGTGGTTAAAAGCATGGGGTTGGCAGTCACAGAGACCTGAATTGAACCTTAGTTCTAACATTAACAACTCTGAGACCTTGGTCAACTTAGTTAATGCTTCTATGCCTCAGTTACCTCATTTGTAAAACAGAAGTAACAATGATACTCAAACAGGTTTTGAGGCTGAGTAAGATGATGTATGAATTGAACTCACAATGTCTGGCACTTAAGTTCTAAGTGAATGGAATTCTTGGTGAATGGAATATACAGTGTTTTTGTTATCCTTATCCATGGACTAGACCCCAGACATGGCCCAACTAGGCCCAACTGTTATAATCTCTCTTCTGGCCCAATGAGGCAATTGACCTTGGGCAAGTCATTAACCATGCAGGACTCCAGTGTCCTGATCTAAATAATGATGTCCAAAGTCCTCTTCAGGAAAGCGGGGCCTACACACAGTCCAGGTGAGGAGGAGAGAGGCAGTGCAGAGACTGGGCTGAGGCCTGGGACATCCTACAGGGCGTCCACAGAGGACAGGGTATGTGGCATAAAACTGAGGTCTTAGCCTATACTACGTCAGTGCTTCCCAGATGCTATGATTTCACAAACAGATAAAAAGATTTTTTTTTTTTTTTTTTTTTGAGACAGGAGCCTCAAGCTGTCACCCTGGGTAGAGTAGAGTGCTCTGGCATCACAGCTCACAGCAACCTCCAACTCCTGGGCTCAAGCGAGTCTCCTGCCTCAGCTACCCAAGTAGCTGGGACCACAGGCGCCCGCCACAACGCCCAGCTATTTTTTAGTTGTAGCCATCATTGTTATTTGGCAGGCTGGGCTGGATTCTGACCCGCCACCTTGAGTGTAAGTGGCTGGCGCCTTAGCAACTTGAGGCGCTGAGTCAGATAAAAAGATTTTTTAAAAAGGTTTCTATGGGGCCAAGAAAGGTCTGCCAACTTTTTATTCTGCCAAACAACTAACTAAAACAAGTACCATCTGCCTACCATCACGATCTTTCATAAAAGAAGGAAATTTTAATACCCAAAGAGGAGAAAGATCATCATCTTGGAAGCTCCTCTCAAATGAATAGATTTAGCCTGTTAAGATCTGGCAGGTGGACATCAGAATTTTAAATATGAAGTTCTGAGTAAGGGCAGGGAGGAGAAAAGAAGGCAAGAATCGAGGCTGGGAACAGCTGGGAGGTAAGATGGGGTAGAGGCCAGCCAGCTAGAAGGGGCAGAGGAAGGTTTACAGCAGGTCCAGGATGCAGAACCGAGGAGAAAGCGGATGAGAAAGGTTCTGTAGTTTGCTAAAGAAGTAAGGCCTACATGGAAGGACGACATTAAGTATAATCATTTAAATGTCTAAATAAAATCACGTTAGTTTGGCTTCATCAGGCCATTCTAAAAGCACCACACCTAGTTACTCCAAATAAATTAAATATCAGAAACATAACCTACAGGTGAGATAATCAGATTGGCACCGCCATGAATTTATGTTTCAATGTCACTATTTACTCAAATTAACCCAACCAAGTCAGCAATAGTATTAAATATGAATAACTAAAAGTAGCGTATTACTTATCATTAAAGTCAGAGACCCCTGGTTACAACTGCACAAGTAAAAATAATCTAAAATCCAACATGGGGAAAAGTATATACAAACATCTTACAAGGGGATATAATAAAATATCAGGCAGCCATTAGAATCTTCTTTTCAGAGAAGATTTAATGATTTGTAGAAATGTTTATAGTATAATACAAAGTATACAAAGCAGTACAAATTTTTATGTAATTCCTGCTTTCATACTCCTGTAATAAAATAAATCAAAAAGACAACATACATCATCTCTGGTATTATAGATCATTTAATATTCCTTGTGCTTTATATGTTTTCAACAACAAATATGCATTACTTTTATAATTAGGAGAAAATATGTTGAATAAACTTAACAAACATACTTACTCTTGGGAGTTTAGGATTGAAGTAGTTAATTATTCCAAACTCAAAATAAGATGCAAAACCCTCTTTGAGCCAGATATTATTCCACCAATTCATGGTAACCAAGTTTCCAAACCACTTTTGGGGGTGAAAGAAAAAAAGAGCTTTCTTTTAAAGTTATATTTATAGTAATGCAGGTTAAATAAATTTTAAGGCCAAAAGACATAATTAACTTTATTCACTGTCAATAATAAAACTTGAAAACAGGATTCCAAAAGCTTGTTTTCACATGAGGAGGTATCAGTTATGCATTTCTTTGAAACAATTATGTTCAATGATTGAAAGCATTTTTTGTTTTAAAACTGCAATTTACAAAGTCAGCTAGCGGCTCAGCACCTGTAGCTCAGCAGCTAGGGTGCCAGCCACATACACCAGGGCTGGCGAGTTCGAACCCAGCCTGGCCCGGGCCTGCCAAACAACAATGACAACTACAACCAAAAAATAGCTGGGCATTGTGGCAGGCGCCTGTAGTCCCAGCTACTTGGGAGGCTGAGGCAAGAGAATAGCTTAAGCCCAAGAATTGGAGGTTGCTGTGAGTTATGACACCACAGAACTCTACTGAGGGCGACAAAGTGAAACTGTCTCTAAAAAAAAAAAACACAAAAAAACAAAGTCAGCTAGAGTATAACATTTCTTAAACTATCTGTTTTACCCAAAAATTGTGTTTCATTAAGTAAAGCAGAAGCACCAAATACTGAGTTACCACCTACTAACTCGAGCACCTTATATTCTCAATAGGCTACACCAGGATTTTGCCACAAGCAGTTGTTTAGGTTTTAAGAACATGATACATGCTGTGTACAAATCACTCGAGCAATCATGTATTTTGCAACCATGTCCAATTGCAATTATTTTTTATTTGAGCTGAATGGGGGGAGAATGTGTCAAAAGGATGATGAACAGAATTAGGAAAGAAAAACAGCATAATTTCCAAAATCAACTAACCCATGCTCTGGTATTTAACCAAATTCTTCTAACAGCTGTGATGTACTTATAGTTAATACCCTGTATTCCAAGCCACGTGTGACTTAGGCTGTAATAAAACATGACACACTTAGGGTGAATGATCAAAATGCGTGAAAGTGTGTGTTGAGTGTGCACGAGGGTGTGCCACAGTCCCAGTAAGTTGCTCTTTTCTGAAACTTCTTATGGAGCCACATAGGAGAGATGATTTCTTTCTTGATGCACTGGTATTAATGAATTGGAGAACAAAATACAGATGTGAAAATCTTCATTAAGTCAAACACTTACACACTGAAAGTTGCAATGTGAAAGTATGTAGATCTGATGAAATGAATCGTTGGTGACACTCCCCTCGGAAATATGGCTTGAGGATTAATTATTGCTCACCTCACTAACATATTACCTGCGTCCATTTAACCTCTCTCCAACAACAAAAAATAAAAGTTTATAACAACCTACTGATGAAATTCTAGTATCTTTCAGTATCTTTTTGAATATCTCTTATCTTAAGGTAGAATGAAAAATGAACACTCCTAGTTGTGTATGGATTACCTTTCCCAAAGAGGATTTTGTGAAGCAAAGTTAATCTTTAAAGGTAAACACATAACCCTCAATGACCATAAGGTCTCATGACTATAATCCACTACCAATAGCTCAGATCTACCCAAATCTCACTATGTAGATCCTTCCTTATTCCTACTCGCTGCCACACTTTTTAGATAATATTTTTCTTTTTAAAACTTTGGTATATGGCAGAGTATCTTCATTTCTTTGCTATTTTGGATGGAGCAGCTAGAGAATATCTTCATGAGAAATAAGAAAAAACATTTTACCACATGCCTGATGTCCAATCTCATGGGAGACAATGTAAGAGATCAAAGCCTTTTTTCCAGTCAGTTGATCATCTGGTTGCAGCAACAACAGTGATTCATCAAACATCAATAGTCCCCAGTTTTCCATTGCATGGTTGTCAAAAATAGGCAAGGCAATTATATCTAAGTGGATTTAAATGGAGGAAAAAGTAAAACCATCTCTTCTCCAAAAATTGGGATTTCTACATATAAATATCTCAAAATGAAATACTACTGAAAAATACAAGTGAAGATTTATAACTTGAGGGGAGAGAAGGGATTTATAAAGATTACTATCAAGATGGAAGCCAGAGAATAAATTGTTTTGACTATATTAAGATACTTTTTTTCTGACTTTATTTTTTAATTAAATCATAACTATATATATTAATGCATTTATGGGGTACAATGTGCTGATTTTATATACAATTTGGAATGCTTGCATCCTCACCTAATGTGCATGATGCAATGGTACATTTCAAAACTATTAAGAAAAGAGTATAATTGTGATGCATGTGTTACTTAATTCAAAATACACAAAGAACTCTTTAAAACTCAACAATAAAAAAACAAAAAACCCAATTATAAAATGAGCAAAAATATTTGAACAGACAACTACTAAATAAGTATGCAAATAACAAATAAATATATGAGAAGATGCTCAACGTTATTTGTCATTAGAGAATTGCAAATAAAAACAACGAGATGCACCACTCCTAGAATGGCTAAATTACAAATTACCACCAAATGCTGACAAAGATTTGGAGCAACAGGAACTCTCATATACTGCTGGTAGGAATGCAAAATGGTACAGTCATTTTGGAAGACTGTCTGACAGCTTCTTTCAAAACTAAGCATATGCTATCTGTTATCATAACAACTAACAATCGTACACCTTGGTATGAACCCAAATGAACTGAAAATGTATGTCCACAAAAAACCCACACACAACGTTTATAGCAGCTTTGTTCACAATTGCTAAAACTTCGAAGCAACACCACTGCCATTCAATATGTGGATGGATAAACTGTGGTACGTGTATACAATACAGTACTTTTCAGAAACAAAAAGAAATGAGCTATCAAGCTATGAAAAGAAATAAAGGAACTTTAACTCCATATTGCTAAGTGCAAGAAGGTAGTCTTAAAAATTATATACTGTGTGATTCCAATTATGTGACATTCTGGAATAGGAAAAACTATAAAGACAATAAAAAAAATCAGTAGTTGTCATGGATTCAGGAGAAACGATGAACAAGGAAAGCACCAGCGATTTTAATAGAAGGGAAACCACCCTGTGTGATAACTGTAGTGTACATACAGGTCCTTAGACATTTGTACAAGCCCATTGAACTGTATGACACAAAAAATGAACCTTAAGATAAACTACAGATGTTAGTTAATAATAACGTATCAGTGCTGGTTCTTCAGTGTAACAAATGTACCACACTAAGCCAAGATGGGAACAGCAGAAGAAAGGCACGAGGGGAACCGATGGGAACTCTCTGTACTTTCTGCACAACTTTCCTATAAATCTGAAACTGCTCTAAAGTATTGCCTATTTAAATTGAACACTTTAGTTCACCAAAGACATTATAAACAAATTGGCAGGGCAAACCACAATCAAGCAAAAATATTTGAAGCACATACCATAGGCGATTAGATGATTATTTTTAATATTTAGAGAACTCTGACCAATCAAAAGGGGAAAAAAGGTGAACAATTCACCAAAGAAATAATTCAAACAGCCAAAAATCTTACTTTAAAATGTTCAACTTCATTAGTTATCAAAAAACAAAAATTAAAATGATATAACTTACTCTTTAAAATACGTAAGATTAATAATTAGAATTAAGTGTAGGAAAATTGTCACATAGCTTGCTGGTGAGGGTGTGAACTGGTGCGATAATCTTGGAGCAATATAGCAAAAGCTGCATAATCTTTACAAATCTTCATCCATTTTAACTAAATCATTCTACTTTTGGAAGTTAGACTAAGTTAACTAGGATATATATTTGTCTTTAGTATTTTAGAAATTAGGCAAAAATGATGGAATCAATCCAAAGGATCAGTAACAGAGGACTAAATATTTTGTCACATTGCTATGTAGGCATTTTGTGTCTTAAGAACATCAACACAAAAGGATAGTTATCCAGATCAGACGACAGACAACTACTAAAGAAGATATGCAAATAACAAATAAATATATGAGAAGATGCTACATACTGTTAATAAAAACCATTCAAAGAACAGTGTCAAATCTATGGTATCATTTTTGTCAAAAACAAGAAGTAAATACAGAGACTGAGCCTGACAGACTTTGAGACGGTACACACCAAAAGGTCAATTGTAATTATCACTTTGTGACAGCATTATAGGTGATTTTTTCTTCTCTGTTTTATGCTTCTCTTCCTGTTTTTCCAAATTTATTAATAGAAGAACAGTAACAGTTTTTGTTTATTTGCTTTTCCTAATGAAAGAAACATCACTCCTCTAATCCATGGTACCTTTGCCTGATGAAAGGTTCTCTGCTGACTTTCCACGAGGCCGACGCTGACAGTGTATAGTAAAGGTACCCTGGTCATTACACAGCCTCCACCAATTGGTGCTCTGTTACCTTTGGGCATACTTACTTGCCTTAGTCTAGGGTGCCCATCCTTTTAACCTTCCTCTTCCTCTTCACCCACCCCACCTGCCAGGCCACCCACATTCCTCACAAAAGACTGCTCTGCTCCACTCCAAACAGCCCCTCTGGTTCTCAGTAACCATTGAGACTTTCTGCTCAAGCTCTTTGCTACCCAGGAAGTTCTCTGCTCTGCATAAGAACGCTACCAGTACTTGTGGCCCATCTTACCATCTATAAGAAGGCATTTCTTACTAATCCTGATGACTATTTTCAAAATTATTGTTTTTATACCAGATGCATAGAATTAGATTAAGCAAAATCCTTCTTTCTTAATAAACTACCTTTGGTCCACACGTAACTCTGTTTTCTTTTACTGTAATGATTAACTTATTATTTGAAAATAATAATAGAAACACACATTTATCTACCACTTAGATTTGGAACAGGAGTTGGCAAATTTTTCTGCAAAAGGCCAAACAGTAAATATTTTCAGCTCCATGGAATATGTGTTTTCTTTCACACACTCAACTTTGGCGTCTCCATGCAGAAGCAGCTGTAGACACTGTGCGAGCAAATCAGCAAGCTGTGTTGCAATAAAACATTACTTTTGGATGTTGAAATTTGATTTCATATAATTTTCATGTGTCACAAAGTGTTATTCTTCTTTTGATTTTTTTCAGTCATTTAAAAATGTAAAAACCACTCTTTGCTCATTCTTGGGCCACAGAGAAACAGGTAGTGGTCCAGATTTGACAGTTTACCAGTATCTAATTTAGAACAATACCAATAAACTATCTTGGTTCCCAGCACCATCAGCACCACCTGGGAATTTGTGGGAATGACCCCAGAACTACTGGATCAGAAAGGCCAGGTGGGCTGCAGCAGTCTGTGCTTGAACAAGCTTTCCAGGTGATTCTGACCCTGCTGACCTCCGCTGATCTATGCCTTCCTGTAGGCTCCTTCTCAACTCATCTTTAGTGTATTCTCCCAGAGGTTAACCCCTACCCTACATTTTAGGTTTGTCGTTCCTTTGCTTAAAAATAATATATGTAAATATACTGTTTACTCTTTATAGTTTTAAACTTTAGAAATAGTTTCCATGGTGTGAATGTACCACAATTCATTTAAGCATTCTTCTATCAGTGATTATATTGGTTGTTTTCAGTTTGGGGCTATCATAAAAAGTATAGCTATGAACATGTCTTCTGGTACATTTATGCTCAAATTCATCTTGAGGATATACCTAAGAGTGACATTACTGGGTTTTAAGGTATTCTAATGGTCAGTACTACAACATGATACATATGTTTCAAAGTGGTTATAATAATCAACACTCCCATCAAGGCATTGTTAAAATGCTGACTTTTGACAATTGAATGAGTACAAAATGGTGCCTCACTGTGGCCCTGGATGTTCCTCTCAGATCACTTGTGAGGTTAAGTATCTCTTCATGAATTTATTAGCCAGATACGTTCCTTTTTCTGTAAAACTTCTATTTACATATCTCTTACGTTCTTTTTCTGTTGGTTATATTTTTCTTATTTACTTATAGATGATCTTTATATATCTGGAATACTTTAATTACCACTTCTTCATCCTCTTTTTTTTTTTAAGACTTTTGCTTAGCCAGTACTTTATCTCTTGCTAATCTAACTTGTTGCTTACATTTCTAACATACAGAAGCAAGCTTCCTAACTCAGCTACTTGAAAAGGGCCCTGGCCACCTACTTCTTCTATATTCACACAGCATCTAGAAAATTTGGAGGTACCCAATATCTCCTCAGTAAATTCTCATTAATTGTGGTCATTATTTTATGATTTTATGACTGACCTTATACTTAAATTTAAATGCTTTGAAAATACATACCACACTCGGATATGTAAAACGTGATTAGTCCACTATTATGACAAATAAAGAACATAACCAACACATAAAAGGGAAGTTATCATTTCAAACATTTGCAAGTCTTAAATGCTCATATTTACTCCTAAAAGTAACACCCCACTTTTTCTTTCAAAACTTCTAAGAACCCAAACACCTAACTCTACCAGTCTCTATACTATTTTGATAGTATAGCCCACTTTTGATTTAAACACACTGGACTAGAATGATAATAGCACCAGAAAAAAATGCTGTTCTGTGTAATGAACATACAAAAACAGTTTATATGACCTTAAATTCTAAGGCTTAGAATTCGTTGAACTAGACACAAGAAGATAAGCTAAAAAAAAAAATAAATAAACGAACGGCTTTGGCATGTGTAGGAAATGCTGGTAGGAACAGGATTTGTTGTTTTTTGTTTTGTTTTGTTTTATTATTGACTCAACCAAGAGTTAAATTAAGAAATATTAGTTTATCATTTTCCTAAAGATCCTTATTTTATAGAGAAACTCCTTATTTTAATCACCTATCAATCAAAATAAAGTTTTGAGTGAATACCACCTAAGGGTAAAATTGGGTAAGATGATATGAAAGATTTATATTTATATATATATATACATATATATATATATATATATTTTTTTTTTTTTTTAGCAGTTTTTGGCTGGGTCTGGGTTTGAACCTGCCACCTCTGGCATATGGGGCCAGAGCTCTACTCCTTTGAGCCAGAGGCGCTGCCCTGAAAGATATTTTTTAAAGTGTCAGATATTCAGGAGTTGATAATCTGGTCAGAATTTAAATGGAATTACTGAACTAATTGCGTGTGTTTATTCCCCTGCACTAAAAAAGTTTACTTTTGACCATCTGAGAGAAAAACTTCCATAGACTCTGAAGATACAAAAAGACCATCCAGATCCTGACCCCAAGTTGCTCTTGATCTAGTGAGGGAAACTGTTCGGGTGCAATCAGTCAAGGGTCCAGCTGGAGGGACTTCCATGAAGTCAGGGAAGCCTTCAGGGAAGAGGGTGCACTGAGCCAAGAAATACAAGACTTGAATTAGCCAGATAGATAGAAGGCATTCCAGAACATGCACACTGCGTGTGTGAGGGTCTGAAGGAGAAGAGAGGAAGATGATGTGTAAGAGGAGCAGAGACAGTGCTAGAGCACCCTTCTCATTCTGAGGAACTGCCAAAGCTCCAACAGTGCAAGATGAACGATACTCTCAATTGAGAGGGAAATTGAACCACTTTCTGAGCTGACTGGCTCATACAATTTTAAAGATATACTGTACAGATCTACAAGAGGTTAAATATTTACATATTTCCTCCAAGATCACACTATATCCACACATGATTCCAATTTTATACAATGAAGATTCACATATGGGACCTCTAACTCCTAATCCAATGACTCACAGCTATACAATATTAAAAAAAAAAAAAAAGAAACTTACCAAAGGGAACCAGAGTAACTCATGCAAGCCCACTAGCTAAAAAGATCCAGAACACAACATTGCATACTTGCATTATGAGAGAAAAGGCAAGAACACAAGAGAGAAAGTAGAGTCTGGGGAGGTGAGGCTGCCATCAAAACCCAAGAGAGGCCTAAAATCTCAGAGATGTGCTACTTGCTGGGCACAGGGCACCCAACAGAGAAAGAGGGGGCAGACCTCAATGTGTTTTAGAAGGTTTAAAACATAATGATGGCTGGTCAAGAGGCTAACTGCAAAATCGCAGCTAAGTGGTGGCTGTGGGTCCTCAAAGGGTCATCTGTGTACGCTGTGACCTCAACCCAGGACCCACATAACAGAAAACCCATTGCATTGAAAGAGAAGGTGCCTCACCTGTCTTTGGAAGAGGGTAACTGATATTAAATAAATCCTCCAGAAAAGAGAAGATGGGACCTGTGATGTTCAAAGCAAAGTCTGCATGTCCACTTGCAATGGCATCTTTCCGGGCCCAGATGCGTATCTGAATTAAAACAATTAGCAGTAATTAGGAAAGGCAGTAGTGATTTTGGAAATCACTACGGGAAGCCTTGCTAGTTCCAATTCCCTGCGGCTCTAGAGCCAAAGTCTTACCTTTTCAGAAGAAGCTACATAATAAAATGTTTAAAGGCATACAGGTGCCGAGACAACCCCAGAAGGCTGTTCACCAAGTTATAAACATTCCAGAAAGTGTGTTATTTCAATCTCTGACAGTAACATATATAACTCTGAAATGACAAAACAATCCTTGGAATGGTCCACACCACCATCTACCCCCATAGTAAATGTACATTCTGTATACATTTTATGCACCCTGGACTCTTGCTTCCCTTCTTAGAACTTTTTTCTAAGACAAAAAAAGAATTGTACTGTTGGGGGTACATAGTATGGGACACACCAAGCAAATTTAAAATAGTTTGATAAATAAAACATTAATTGTCCTACCTTATTTTCAAAATTTGAAATAAGGTTAAGTCCCCTAATTTTAAAAAGCTCATCAAAACTCTTATGATTTTAAAGCTGAAGCAAGTAAATTATATTCAATGGCTATTTATTCTCTTACAAATGACGCTTCCAGTTCAGCAAGTAGAAGAAGATCTCTGCCATATTTTGTCAGTTTTAGGCAACTGCACTATTGTTTGGGTACTTGGGACTTATCTGTGAGATTTTGGTGACTGATATACTATTGCTTTAACATTATTATTATAATATTAAAGGATTTTATACTCTACAATATCATTTAAACAATTTTTAATAGAATTGCCAGCTTTCATGGCAAAAAAAAAAAATGCATATTGCCTACCACGCAAAAACTTTAGAACAAAAATTAGTAGTGAGAAAATTCAACTATCTGTCCTGATGTGAGTTCAGTTAGAAAAGAGCTCTCTGCAAAACACTGGAGAAAATGCTAAGGAAAGGAAAAGCAGAGCAACATTTGCAGCTTTGTGCACTCCAAAAGCACATTCACCTTACTTGCTTTTCTTTCTTCTGGGAAATTCGTCTTGAGTTATGTGAATTCTAAATTATGTGAGGATTCAGGAATGCTGCTTGTTCACAAAATGCAACCACCTGTTTCTGAGGCGCTGCCTGGACCCCTTTGTTGCTTTCAGCCTCCCCCCCTGCTGCAGAGGCCTCCTTCTGCTAACAAAGATGGCCCCACACTTGGCCCTGCTCCTGCGCTGAATTCACCCTTCCCTGTCCAGTTCTGGCTTCTGAAGCAACAGTTAGGGAGCCTACTCAACCAAGGGCCACCCTATGGAAGTCATCTCTGCCCCCACTGTTGAGATGGTGTGTATATTTTAAATGTGAACCTTTTGGAGAAAAAGGGCAATAACAATGACTGTATATGTATATTAACTTTCAGTTTATTAAGCTCCTTTTGTAAATTGACAAGTAAAGTCAATAAGCTGAGTATGAGACGAATGATGAGACGATTTCAGACTGGAGGAAAGGGTGAGTGGCTCCTGGCAGAGCAGTGAGGGACACAGGCCAACAAAGGCCACTGTCGAGATGCATCCATACAGTTCCTTCAAAATCATATCTGCTCCAACAGTGTCTTCTGCTGGAGCTCCCTACCCACAGCAGATCATGACACGTAAGACAGGAACGTCTTTGCAAACGCCCAAACGCACTAAATTCTACTCTATGTATGTGATTTCCTGTTTATCCTCATACCACACATTAACCACATTCTCAATTTCACTGAATCCTCATCTCTGACTGAATGAGCAACTTTCTGTAGGCTGGACACTATTTCAAGCATACATTTTTGTTTTCTGTAGAGTGCGTGGTAGACTCATTCACTTCGTAGAACTGAGCCACAGCCAAATGCAACATTCCACTGATAAGTTCACCCCAAATTTCATTTTTCTGGCGAAGAACATGACTTTCCTGGGCATGCTCCACTTCCTCTCTGTGGTGTGGAAGCTGGCTCTCTATTCAGGGTGGTCGTTCACAAAGAGACAGATTGTATCTCTCTATAAGAATTAACTATGCAACAGTGCTGACGACAAGACGCTTGAGACCTGGATGCTGAGAGGCCACTGTGGTCTCCCACTAGCTATGAGAACCCTGAGGCCACCTCCATGTGCTTCCAGGCCATGCCTGAGCAGATTTAACAATGTGTGTCATGAATGTTTGCCTTGGCCAATGTTCTATCTGTGAATGTCAAGGCTTTACTAATAATTATTCAAGGAGGAAGATGAGGCTGGAGCCAACAGCTCGGGAAGATAACAAGCTGTAATTAATGATGACACAGTATGCTCAAGTCATCATAGGGTACGAGGAGTGTGAGAGGATCATCCCTGGGTGATTCTGCTGCTGATGAAACGCTTGGCTCACCACAGCCTCCTTGTCTTTACCTGTCAATGGTGTGAGCCTGGAAGGTCTAGGGCCCAGGAGAGCATCTCTGCCAGCTTCAGAGCTTGATGTTTCTCAACCCCATGAAGGGGATGTGACTAAAATGACCTGGGCCTACAGCACTGGCTTTACTTTCCCCCAAACTCGATGGGCAGTGAGCCAGTATACAGAAGTTTGCTGCAATAAGCTTGGTATTTTCCCAAAGGGTTGTTATATAATAAGGGTATAACTAGGTGAAAACTAGGTATTTCAAGACAGGTGTGCATACTTTACACACCCCTGGGGAGGCCTGCACACCCCGGAGCTAAGGAACCTGGTTTTTGCAGAGAGATGACATTTAACCTGCATGCACCATTTCAGCCACAGCAGTGGCTCTTGCCTGGTGTCTGTTTTGACAGCTTGGTGCCCAGGCCACACTGGTTGCCAAATATTTTGAGCACCACCTCAGCTTCAAGACCACATTAACGCCGTAGACGAAGTAACAACACACACTGAACCCGGGCGTCAGTGTGCCACACGGCGGCTGTCTCGGTTCCCTCCTATCTTCTGCAAAAGTAGCAGCAGGCCGCAAAGAGGGAACTCTGATCCTGCCTTGACGAGTGGGATTAATTTGCGATCTTTCCAAGGAAACCCTTCCACAGAACTGATGTGGGAAACAGTATTCCAATTTTGCAAAGTCATACTACCAGCTTTGATAGGGCTTGGGAGAGAAAACAAGAAGGGACAATGGCTAATGAACACCCTGCAGCCAGTGTGTTCTCCCCCACCCAGTGCATCTTCCTCACTTACCTCCTTACCCCTTTCTGTTCTGCTGACATGGTCACAGTCACAGACAGCAAGCGCCACTAAGTAAGTCGGCATGCGGGGTGTGGTGTGAAAGGTCGTCACAGTCCATTGGTTTCCGTTTGCATCTTCTTTTTCAGTCTGACCTAGAGAAATATATTGCAGTCCAAATCACTGTAAGCCTCAGCAATAATGTCTATCTTTCAAATAATTAGTCAACTGTCACCCAGCTACTCCCTTCCAACCGCTCCCCATCATCTGTCTAGCAGTTTGGATTTCTCTACCTTCCCTCATGCAAAACTACATCAGAAAGGTCTAAGGACAGCATCCTGCACCTGACTCAGCACCTTGAATAACACAGGCTTCACAGAGGGCCAAGTCCATGGGCACCGTGAGTTCAGCCCCTCACCACCCTCCTCTTTGTTTTCCATTCCGGCCCATTTCTCACCACACTTAATCTAGAGCTGCCCAGGCCCATGGAAAGTCAACAAGGTATAGTTCAACCGTTCTCAGGTTTCAGTTAGGTCTTTAGTGGAAGGGATCTCGGGCCTTTAAAGCTGAAATCACAGATTTACTCAGGCATGTGATGAGAAATGGGGTGGGAACAGTGGCAGGTTGGGGACACACACCCAGGCTGAAGGAGGCAGCCTCCTCTTGGCTCTATCACTGTCACATCAGCATTATAGGTTCAGTGTTCTGAGTTTTCAAAGAAGTAAAAGTTCAGACTTTTATGTACTTTTATGTACTTTTATCTCTGGACTTCTTTAAAGTTGGAAACTAATTTATCAAAAGGAAAAAGTCACATGAGTTAAATAAAACACATCTGTGTACCAGATTCAGACTAAGTCCACCAGCTTGTTATCACTAATGATCAATAGCTGCCTGGGTATGGGTAGAATGTCCCCAGCTTCTAATCCAAAAAGAATCAGCATTTGCTGTCTCCAAGGTGTGGGTGCTGACACATTCCCCAGGTGACTGCTGTCCCTAATTATAGCAGAGTGCAATCATAAGACAGCCCTAACACACTGCCTAGAAAAGCTATTGATATAAAAGATACATATCTATCTATATGTCAAATATATGGATATTATGCATCTATATGTAGAAAATATATAGATGTAGGAGAGAAGCATTACATACCTAGCTGTGGCATGTTGGAAAGGGCCACATAAATAGGATGATGAATAATTGTAATATTAAAAGTTGCCTTCAGAGCCGGCTCATCCAGACAAGGAAAAACATTCCTGGCAAATGTCGGTTCCATCTGAGATGCTAGCAGGGCCCTGAAATACATTTGGGGAAAATTCATTTATTTTTATCACAAAAAGAATTTGACAGGGATTCTCAAAGTCTTCTCGTAAGCCTGGTGTGCAAGAAAGAGCTTCCCCTCACCTCCCTCACTGCCCTCCCATAACACACACGCTCCACTGCTCACTGCACCTTGGAATTCTCGTAAGACCAAAAACTCAAAACAAGTTTGATTTTCAACCACAAAATCATATTTGCTTTATGACATCATAAACCTATAAAAACTTTTACAAACAAAATAGGCACAGATATAGCAAGAATGCAATACCAATCTTCTGAGAACCAGCAATTTCTCCTTTTAAAATTAGGGTTGCTTGGAATTGGTCTGTTGCCGCTTTCCTCCTCCCCTAAAGCGCAAGTCAGCTGAATGCCCACATGTTTTCCTTTTTTCTCATATGTTCTTTCTCCCTCCTAGTGGAAAACTTAAACAATAAGTTTTATTTTGGACACCCTTGTGGTAAAAACAAGAAATATGGGTACATACCAATGGAACAGAACACTTTCAATTATATACGGGTAAATTTATCAAATCCCCACTGCTGCTTCCTCCTTCTCTATGGAAAAATACAAATAGTGTCATTACCCACAGTGCACTGAGGATTACGTGGGAAAGCTGAAGGGTAAGAATACCCCGAGCAAACAGGAAGATGTCAGGCCGCCTCTACAAACACTGTCCAAGCCTCACAAAGGCAAGCGTGGGCCCTAGCATACGACTTTGTCCTCTAATAAACCTTCATTCTCATGGTCCCATTTGTAAGACTCGCTGACCTGGGAACCTGACCGCAGGGGACAGTTGTAGATACTAAATTCCTTTTTCAACTAAAGCCCTAGGATGTAAAGTCTCTAATACACGTGCCGTTGCTTTAGGCCTAATTCTTAGAAAAATAAAAGGTGAATTTAAGTACTATTTCTTGAGACAGTGTATTCCATCCATTACATATGTCTGTGAATCCTTCCTTCACCATGATAAGGCCCCTGCTCCCATCAAAATTGACACAGCTTTAAGAAGGACACACGGGTAGTCAGCACATTCAAAAACCTCTCACAGTCAGCTCATGTGAGGCATCCACAAGCCTGTTTCACTTCATTTGCTTTTATTTATTCACCGTCCTCTTGCTCGCACAGACTACAAAGACACCTGTGGGCTCTGACATCAGCCATTTGGGCTTCAGGACCCTGTTCCACCTACTATCAACCAGGGAATCCTGGACAAGTCATGTAATCAGACCAAGCCTCAGTTTCCCCACCTAGAAAATACTGACACCATTTCCTTTGCATTGCCATTAGAACTTTTATGTTATTGGTAACTAAATTTACCACAAATCACCTTTGAATTCTCTTATATTCCTCAAAAATCATTCTTGATACAGATGAACTATAGAAGAAATCAAAGAAGGATAAGTTACAGGATGGGCTGGAGAGTTGGATTAATTAATTAAATGTGTTAACCAAGGTCCTAGGGGTCACAGCTGAGCACAAACTGAATATGAATCATGACTGTCTCCCTAATATGTTTTAAACTACTACAAGTTAGGAATGATATATTTTTTTCTTCTGTATGATTTATAATACTTGGCAGAAATAGTGGTTCATAACCACTATTTGTGCAGGCTTGGAGCTACTATAAAATTAGGCAGCTTGGTAGTAGCAGATACGTGCACAAAAGCATATGAAGCATTTGGAGGATAGGTTACAATGGCATTTGCTATTTTGTAGTTTTGATTGCAGTCTTTAAGGGGATGGGACAACATAAAAAAAGATTTAAGCAGTTGACAATACTGTAGAAAGAATATTTGAACAGGAAATTCAGCTCCCTAAGTTTGTGTTCAGGATCTGTTGGGTAAACACAGTCATGTAACTCTGGGAAAGTTGCTTAAACATTCTAGACATCCATTTCTATAAAATGCAGCAATGGGACTAGATCTCACAGGCCACTTAGAGCTCTAAAACTGTGATTCTACAAGGGATACAAACATCCCACAGGGTGGAAAAAAGGTCCCTGAGGCAGCCATGATTGAGTCATCTAGAGTTGGGAGCCCCTGGGAGGATTCATGCATGGGTTTTGGAAGGTCTTTGAGCCTTCTGAAATTATAAGACATTTTGTATAAATGGTGGTATATTAGCATTAAAAAGTGTCATACAGAGTGAAAAAGCACATCCAATTATATAATACACGCTTCTACATTTGGAAAGCCAACAAATGCCTATTGTTTTTGTAACAAAAACTTTAGAAAGTAAAGCTTGAGCATATCTTCTCTGCTGCCATAACTTCACAAGGTTTATAAATCTCAAGGATGCTGCAAAGTGGGGAGCAGGGAGAAAAGTAGACTCTTTTTTTTTTTTTTTTTTGAGATGGAGCCTCAAGCTATCCCCCTGGGTTGAGTGCCATGGCATCACGCTCACAGCAACCTCCAACTCCTGGGCTCAAGCGAGTCTCCTGCCTCAGCCTCCCAAGTAGCTGGGACTACAGGCGCCCGCCACAACGCCTGGCCATTTTTTGGTTGCAGCCATCATTGTTGTTTGGCAGACCAGGCTGGATTCGAACCTGCCACCTTAGGAGTATGTGGCTGGCGCCTTAGCCGCTTGAGCCACAGGCGCCGAGCCGAAAAGTAGACTCTTGAAGGATGTGGAAAGCTTATGAGTTCAAAGAGGCTAAGACATCCCAGCTTAGACAGCCATCATGTTAGCAAATCAAACTTCAAGCAAGTGCCTTCCAATTCCATGATTCAGGTCTGAAAGGCCCTTGGATTTTATTCAACTATTTCCCTCCCTGGTTTTACACAAATAAACAAAAGGTTAGGGAAAAATCCCTACAACACACAGCCTTTCAACCTCAATTGCAAAGGTCAAGGCCAACCAGCAGCACATAGGATCTGGTTATGCCACATCTGGGGACCTCCAAGTGGCATTTCTTTCCTTTTCCTCTCCGCTTTGGACTCAAGTAATCCTGTAAGGATATTCTGACCTCAGAAAATAGAAACATCCACCCCGTCTCCTCCCTTCACAACTCACTGAAACATGCTATTATGCTGCCTCTTAAGTCTGTGTTTAGAATGGTCAGCTGGTGAGGGAGTTAATTTGGGAAAATTTGTCTCCTCAGGGCTCAGTATTTCAGAGCCACTTTCCTGCCCTCTTGTCTAGAAAGAGAATCGTGGACTTACCACTTTCTTGTGCTAGAAAAGATCTTTGTGGTCAAGAACCACAAGATGCCCTTGGGAAATCAATCTATTACCATCCAAACACTATCTATTATAGCTACTTAGTAAGGTATTTCATTCCAAAGTATTTTATGAACTCCACATGCTCAGAGCTCCAGTTAACAAGTGTTAAATAGCATAGCTGGTCAAGGATTAAATAAAACTCTTAGGAAAGCTGTCCCTCCCCTCCAGATTTTTATACAATACACTCAGAAATCAAAATGTTTAGTAGAGCCAGATGTTACACCACTGGACTGTGGTTCAAGGACTGGCTCATGAATAATGTTTGTTTATTACTTGTGTAATAGGATCTGAAAACTGAAGTTTCCACCAGGCAACAGAACATAACAGATGTAAAATTCCAAAGAAAGGTGCCAAACCATGTTATGAAAATTTTCAAAATAAATGGCCTTGAGACCCTTCTCGGCTAGATCAAGGACAGGGAAAAAGGATCAGGAATGAAGACAAAAGAAATCAGAGAAGATATCTCTCGGTGGGTGGAGGAGGAGGGATGCACATTATTTTTCCAGGTCTTCCATGCTTTCAGATGCCTGAGAGGAGGTACATCCTCTTACCCTGGGCTAGGAAGAGGAGATCCCTCAGAGAGCAGTGCAAGTGTTTCCTGAGGCTGAGAGGCTTAGAAGCCCAGGCTCCTTTTTAAGAAAGCTGAAATTGACAGTGTTACCAGTGTCTAACTCCTACCAGGCAGTCTAAAAGGCAGAAGCATGGCTGATTGCTTTGCAGGTTGAGCCAGAAGAGTGCTGCTTCCTTGGAGTTCACATCAGTCCCAGGCAAGGGATTTGTGGGTGTTGCTTGGAAGAGCTATGGGCTCTGAGACACAGAGTGAGCTGATATGAGGATTGTCTTGGGTCCACCCAATAGAGCCACCTAGAGGAGGCTAAGGAGCTCCATGATGTACCACTGTAGGTCCAGGAGATGAGGATAGTCACAGTGACCATGAAAACATAGAAATAAGATCCTGCAGGGTGAAGAGAATGAACAGGAGAAAATGGAAAAACCGTGAAGTCCAGGAAAATGGTATCATGTCTGGGGGAAAGGTGAGGGTAAGAGTAAAAGGTAAGACACTTCAATAAGAAGTGTCCCATGTGTTGCCTCTCCCTGGCACCCCAGCCCCACTGGACCCTATGGGATCAAAACAGCAGCCATCAAGATGGTCATGGAGGACCAGAAATAGGAGTTGGAGAAATGGAAAAGGACCACCTACCTCACTGCGGGTTCCAGCCTAAAGCCAGCCCGAGAGTGGGAAAGTAAAGAAGAAGGAAATGAAGAGAGAGATTTAACAGTAAATTAAGTTGAGGATCCACACCTGCATCACCTAAGTTTTATATCTGTGTTTGACTTAGACTGGGGCTCATCTGTCACTTCATACTAAGTGGAAATTGTGGACGCTGGAGTCCTCATACAGGCACAGGGAGGATTCCCCCATAGACTAAATTGAAACTACTATAAAACAATGAAAAAACAAAGTTGCATTTCTACTGAATTATGAGGTGTGCTTTCTCAATATGTTACACTTGTTTTCAAAAGATACAGAATCTGTCTTTGGTGAGCAAAACCAGAGACAACTGCTCGGCCACATGAAATATGTGTGTCTTACCTCCATAGGATAACACAAGGAGCTCTCCCTCTATGACACCAATAACATCGTGTGCCTGGCACTTGCGTCCCCTGACCTTGTTTTGAGACTTCCAAATTCTTGCCTAATATTGCTCAAATTTCTCTCTTATTTGTCATAACTAAGCACCATGCCAGATTTC